CTGTCACCCTCTTTTCATTGAAACTAGGCTAGATTCTACTATTCTAGGTCATCCTAGGATTCATTTTAGCATGCAGTAATGGATGAAGTAAATACCAGAGTTGTTACTGCTTTAAGAAAATCCTGCCTTTTGCTTCTAGATTCTTTTAACCTGGATGTTATTAGCTCATGCACTTCAGTTCTCTCCAGTCATCAACTCTCCAAAACATGCAGCACTTTATGGATCACAGCCATTACACAGAAGTTAAAAGGAGTGTATACAGACACTTAAGAGTAAGTTTTAAGATCCACAGTCCACTACTAACTAATCAGAAAAATGGATCTATACTTACTGGAAATTTCTAAGTAATCTTCAGATGTTGAGTCTTCATGTTGAACAGATTGCATACTAGCAGCATCCAGGAGATTCTCCTTGAACCAAAATAAAACCAGAAACTTAGCAAACAGGCAGCTGGAGTAGCACAAAATCTAGCTCAAGTATGGTCTAATCCTGCTGCAATACAACACCCAATTGCAATACAACATCCAACTGCAAAATGTACTTTGAAATTATTTATCCAAGAGATGGTGTTAGTTAGGCTCCATTGAGCTCCTTCTTGCTAGGCCACCCATAGTTATGCTAAAGTTGGCTTTACTGGCATGGAATTATCTATTTACCATATTGACATAAATTTGAGTGTTTGTGGTTTAAATGCTTAGCAAAACTTCACAATAAGGGATCCAGGGGCACTTTAATGATTTAAGTGCCCAACCATCTTTGCAATCCATCTGAAGACATATAGAAGAATCATGCAGTAGAAAACATGCATTAAACACTGCCAAATCAGTTCACAACTACCTGACAGAAACCAGTTAGTCTGCATGGTTTTAACAGGGATTCATCTCTCTCAATATATAAAATTATATATACTAATATTTACATAAGTGTATTATGTTTATGCTGGCACCAAGCCACTATTACTCCATGGTGAAGCTGAGTTCTACTGTCCTAACTAATTTTAGGCAGAACAACTTGAAGACAAGCCACAAAACAATAAATAGGATAGACGAATATAACCCACTGCAAAAGCATTTTTGTCACCCTGATCTTTGGAACTTCATTGTCAATTACCATCATAATACAGCTTGGTACGATTATCACAGACTGGCATGATGAGATTGTCATGACCATATAAGTTAATAATTTATTTCCATCCACCTCATTTAAAGATCAAACTTCAAAGGTAGTAAGTTTGTCCACCTTCAGTGTTCTGAAGCTGGCACATTGAAGAAAGCCACAAAGCCAAGAATACACACCCTTAACTTTCACAACTTTCATGCAACCAGCAGTACTAAAAAATGAGTTTTTCAATGCACCATCTAAGCAAAAATTGTAGCTTTGAAAACCACACAAGGAAGAGGTAGACAGAAAAAGGAAAAAGGTTGTGGAATATTCCAACATTTAAAAAAAAAACCTATAAAAACAATTTTAATTATAATTTTAGAAGGAAACCCAGCTTTTATAGGAATTCAACTCTGAATAAAATGTATATTGTATGATTCTAGTACATGTAAGAAAACTGAAGTCAGATTTTTGTGCATTAGTAGTCCTAAATAACTCATGTAAATTGTGAGAGATTAAAAAGACGGCTGCTTGTTCTAGCACTGACATTCCATCAGACCTCAGAGAAGAACAGTTCTTTATGCTGTCAGAGCTACACCAATGTAGAGACACCATGAAATTCATAAATATTGACCACCTGTGGAGATACTTAACTGACAGATCTGTGGGGCTGATCTGAACAGGATCCTAAGGATTCATCCCCAGTGAAAAGAAATGTTAAGGAAGGGAAAAATGGGACAGAAATGGAGCAACAAGCTTTGATGTGAAATTCAGGACCCAGCTACTCGCAGCTCCCATGGTGAAAAGGTTTCGAGTTGGCTGATTAGCCTGACTTCTGAGGTAGACCAAAGAATCACAAGGGCGGAAAGGCAAGTTGTGAGATAACTGACTGGAAAAGCACATCTGAGAGATCTTCCCATTAGTTTAGGACTTGCTCTGTAAGACCCTCCCTCTTTTTTAAGGTTCAGAAAAACTGTTGAAGTAAGTTTGATGTAGAAATTCATATTTAACCTGCAGCATGTCACTACTCTGAGTTATTTTTTTCAGAGGTTAAGAAGATAGGCTGGATTCAAATGAGGACAATAATCATTAACATTAGTTTTGTTTAAATATATAAACACTACTTCAGATACCTTAGCATTTCTTAAATGAAATGAAATCAGCAGGTTCTTGGAGAGAATACAGAACCCACCTAAAAAGTAGATAAGCTTTCCTGAAATGCTCAAAATAAAAGGTCATTTCCTATTTGTTAGTTTTCATGTATGCCTGAAATAATTTGAATAATTCACGCTATTTCAGGCCTCAGTTTTCTACTGGATACAACAGAAGTGGTTCAAAAGTTGCACTACACCACCGTTAGAAAGAAACCTTCTGCAAAGACTGTAAAGAGAGTTAATAATTTTGTTAACCAACAATAAACTGGATGAACTATAACCAGACACCAGGTATTTTTATGTATATATACACTAAATAAGTAATACAGCTTGACAGTGGTAACTACAAAGGTCAAGATACACTCCAATGCAATAAAGAGATAATCTGACTCTGATAGAAACTCATTTTGCCCATTTTCTGAGCTGGCTGAAGGGTAAGATGGGCATCTATGATTAGCACAGCACTGGGCATGGACTATGACACTTTTTGAGACACTGAGTTTGGATTCAGCATCATGCTAACACAACTACTCATCTTCCATTTTATAGTTGGCTGATTTTTACCCAGTTCCAATTACAGGGGCTAGCATGTGTATATTTCCCTAAGTCAAATGTCTTGCCTGTACCTGACAATGCTCCAGTTCACAGCGACATGCAGTACTTCAATTTTGTCCTTCACAAAAGATACTAATTCTGGTGATAAAAAACTGCATGAAAATGTGGGAAGAAACTGCATGTAAAAACTACATAATGAGATCTAAATGGTGTTGTTAAGTGGATATTGTGAGGCCATTAGGAGTAAACAGCCTTCCATCTGGCAGGCTTCTTTACCCTGCAAGACAGGAATAAAAGAGGTGGGAAGAGGAAAGAACAGGTAGCTAGCACAGGAAGAGTGGCAGGCGAACAACAGCAGCTGGAACAGTGGAAGGCAAGAGGACAAGCTGCAGCCTGAAGAGGACCTGTCCACAATCCCAGTCCTTGTCACTTGCAGATGAACCTTCCGACACAGAACACGGACATGGCTGTGGGTTCCTGCTCTCTCCCAGCTGCAGCTCACCAGGTAGGTTACTGCTCCAACATGTTCAGTGTGACCCCATGCTGGGGGTACTCAGCAATCATTCACTGGGCAAACGAGATTCTTCATATTCCCCTCTCTTCCCCACACAGTTTAGGCAAAACCCTCAGGTTTGAAACATCTCCTGTGTACAAGGAGGTGGCTCACTTCAGATGACATGAATTAGGAAACACTCACAAAAGGAGCTCTGTTGGCAGATCTGAGATAACCTCTGCAAATTACTGCTGGGAGAGTCTTCTTGAACTGGAATAGCTGTAGTTCACAACTACAACAGACCAGCTTGCACCAAATCCCATCTTTCAGAAGACCAAAGGGTCTGGAAAAGTTAATTTTAACTCTAAAGCACGGTCAGCTTCTAGCACCGTGTTTGGCTGCAAGTATGGCACCTTTCCTTACATCACTTGCAACAATATGAACCTATGTTCTTTTTTCTTTTATTTTCAAGTGAGAAATACTTGTTGAGCCATTTTTCCTCTCCAGTCTGTTAGCCAGATTACTATTGATTTCAAAATGAAGCTGACTGGAGTGAAAAGCCACACTATTCTGGTATCACTAGCAAAGTTCTAAATTTATAGTGATGCTTCAGTAAAACCTCTCGTTTCAGGCCGCAATCCATAGATGTACAAGATTATGATAACATGAGACACTGTTAAAACTTGGTAAGCAGAGCACAACCCATCACCTGTGTGCTAAGCAAAATCCAGTTCGGCATTCAGGATTTACATTTATATTTTGAAGCTAACAGATAGCAAAGCTGGTGCCATCCATGCGAACAGAATAATTATAACCCTAAACTCGGTGAAGACAACAGCTGGGTCAATAGTTTTGCTTGGTTTCCAGTAGCACCAATTAGAGGGGAAGGGGAGTGGGGAAGAAGAATCTAAGTCACGGAAGACTCATGTTCTGCATTATCCTTGAACAGACAAAATCTGGACCTATGGAAATCAACCATATCAGATAAATTCACTTAGCTGCACATCTTTTTCTGTTGTAGGAATGGGTTAGATGCACATAGCATTCACTGAATGTGTTATAATGAAGAAGTGTGTAGAAACTGCTCAGAATTTATACTATATATTAAAAAGTGAGCACATGAATACAGAATATCATCCCAATTTTCCTAGCTCAGCACTAGATAACAAGCAAGTGGATATTTTTCTGAAACAACCTGCAGACATTCAGTAAATCCTCTGCCCTATGCTTATTATGTTGAGCAGAACAGATTTCTAACAAATTGTAATAGACAAAGTAGAGATTTGTGTTTGGTTTGTTGGGTAAGTATAATGACTCCAGTTGCATAAAGACTCTCCCACAAGCATGAAGATACAACAGAGATAGAAAATGTCAAGAAATTTTCTTAGTCTAATTATTGCTTTCACTAGATAGCTGATTTTTACTACAACTCAAATATGGTGAATAAAATGAATGGATTAGCAATTCCTTATTAAGATGAACAATAAAGATACTGTCATGATATGGGGCAATAAGGGAGAGATTCAGCAAGCAGTGTGGTCACGATGGGAAATTTGATTAAACTACAGTAAACTACTCCTTGAAAAGATAAGTGCATCAGTTGAGCTTTAGTCAGCCACATCATCCTGTAAATTGCTTTCAAGATAAGCCAGTACATAAATTCTCTTTGCACAGGTACGTTACTTCAGAACAGTCCTCCTACAGAGAGAAACATGGCATATAATGGTACTTGGAAAATAGACAGAAATGAAAACTATGAGAAGTTCATGGAGGCGATGGGTAAGTTACTTTTCCAATGCCTTCTACAAGAATGACACCACTATAGCTGAATACAAACTCGAGCTGTCTGTGAACTACCTTCTGGCTAGCCTGTCCTTTTGCTGTTTGCTGCTTTGCCCTTGCATAGTGTACTGCATTTATTTTCAAAAGATTCTACTGAGGGGGGAAAAGATACTGAGAAATGTTCTGATTTTAATTACGTTACGTTAATCTTAAGCAACTTAACTCATTTCAGCAGGGGAAAGAATCCCTAAGCGTACGTTTGAGGAAAAGGCTCAGAGAATTTGAATTATAAACTTTAAGCAGAATTCTATAGCAGGAATATTATTTTGATAACATGAAACTAGTTCAAAAATTACCCAAGGAGGAAATTATCATTCTTCAATTTTATAGCAACACATGATTCAAGTCATTTTAACATCCTGATACGTTTGTATAAACTGTGCATTATATGGATATAAATACAACCACTCCAGTTGGATAGTGGTTTGCATTATATCTGTGCTGGTGAAGGTGGCCTCAATAAAAAGTGAAGAAGAATAAAAATTCAGGTCAGAATGCTGGAATAAACTTACTTGACCACATAAATGTCACTAAAAAGAAACAAATATGATGCTCTAGGGCCTCTTCTTCTGATTGATGGTAATTGATTTTTCTAGGTGTTAACATGATGAAAAGAAAGCTAGGAGCCCATGATAATCTGAAGATCACTATTCAGCAAGATGGAAACAAATTTACTATCAAAGAATCAAGCAACTTCCGTACCATAGATATTGAATTCACTCTGGGAGTCAATTTTGAGTACAGTCTGGCTGATGGGACTGAACTTACTGTAAGAGACTTTTTATATAATTATGTATTTATTATATGTTATTCAAGTATGTTCATGAAGTACAGTTTCAAGATTAATTATTTGTTTTCCTAGTTTTTAATTTAAATTTTACTTTTGAAGTATGACTGTTCAGGAATGTTTGCAGGTTATATACAAAACCACAAGGTAGTCTTAACTGTTAATAGTTCAATACTGTACCATGAAACTCAGAGTTCCATAGAGTGCACAAAAAGCAGAGTATGTAGCAATTTTCACACGATGAAATCCCGCTGATTGCAATTTTACTTCTTATAATGCTTAAGTACGCCACCTAGAGTGCAGAGTGGGTATTTATAAAAAATGACTTTGTTGATACAATTAAAATGAGGTGTGCTGAGTACTAAAAAAATCTAGCTTGACTATTATGCAATTAAATAAACTAGTGGTTTTATTAAAATTTCATTTTTACAGCCTTTCCATCAATGTCCAAAAAAGTATTATTACTGTTTTAATCTCCTCACTTTTAAGCTTTCCTGCAGTCTTTAAATCAAATCAGTGTCGTATCTGTTGCAAAATATTTGGGTGGGTTTTTTTTCCCATTGTAGGGTTCTTGGAACATGGAAGGAAATAAACTTGTAGGAACGTTTACTAGAAAAGATAATGGAAAAGTACTCACAGCATACAGAGAAGTCATAGGTGATGAACTTGTTCAGGTGAGTTAAGTAGTCACTTACATACAACTTTACAATACAATAAATGGAAAAAATTCTAAAAGCTGTTCAGAAAGTAGGAAATGTTTTCTTCAAGCCAAATAACCTCTTTTATCTTTAGTTAAAATTCTCAAAGGATCTATCAAAACTTAAAACTTCAAAATAAAACTCGCAATCTGTGATTTTTATGTTTTTCTACCCATGAACTGTATCTTATCAATGCATTCTGAAGCCTGTAAACACAAGCTGCATACAGAAGATATATACATATATACACACTATATAGGTGTGTTCTGACTGAAGGCCCTTTTCCAGGTGTCTGCCTTGTAAAAGCTTTACCACAGGAGCTTACTACAGCGTAATGCTGTCAGTGGCTGATAAATGCCCTTTTAAAACAAAGTTTGGGGTTGGGGCAGGGTATGATGGCACAGAGGGGTAAGTTTGAGACAAAAGGGAAACGGTTCATAGGTCTGCAGTAAAGCCAGAAACTGAACTGAACCGTAACGCTTTAAGATCCTCTCCGCTAGCAGGTCACAAGCTTCTTAAAAGAATAAATTAAAAAACCACAACCTTATGGACAGGTATGAGATTTGAGATATCAAAAACATGCAGTCCAACCCTTCAGTGTTTCTTCACACTTCTAATAAAAGCAATCACATAGATGAAACTTGTTAACTAGTGGTATTAGGAATACAGGACTTCAACACTTTGGGTTTTCTCTGAAGCCCCCAAAAGCTGTCCTGTGGTGGTTCAAATGTTTGCATAGAGAATTTATGCTTACTGACAACAGGCTGCTTTCCTTACGTTCCTTTCCTCAGAGCCTGCACAAGGGCTGGGAGGCCCCACAGGGCCACCAGTCACAATTAATTAAATCACTATTGACCATCTCTCAATAGCATGTGTGAAATGAAACCTTGTAATAGCAGCCACTGATTTTTCTTCTTAATTTCTTAACAGACCTACAGATATGAAGGAGTTGAAGCCAAGAGAGTCTTCAAAAGGGACTAAGTACTTCACCCAGAACAGCACTAGAATCAAAAAACAATGAAAAAAGATCATTTTTCTACATATCCTCTACTTTTTTTTCCTTCTATCCCCTCACAGCACCTCCTAAGCTGCAATTACTTAGCCCTGTTGAAAACAGGGGCTAGTTCCTTATGTTTACTGTTTTGCCTTGAATAAATAAAATCCAATTACAATTTGATACAAATGCTAAAATGTTATTTGTACCAAGTCCTACCTGAGTGCCATACTGTAAAAGGCTGCAAAACCTATTTTGTATAAGCAGAACGTCAATATTTTTTTGCACTGCTTGTCAAATGGCAACTTAGTTTCCTTACCGTAATATTTATATTGATAAAGAGTTTCTCTGTGTATTGAATATTGTGTAATAAGGATGGCAAAACCTAAAAGAAACCTAACAACACCGAAGTCTCTAAGACTCTTTTATGTAAATATAAATATGAAATAAACAAAATATGGTGTGATAATACTGCTCACTTGGAGGACTTAAATGATATCCCATTGATACCTTGCTCATATCAATAGGAATAATATAAAACACATACTGATGATATACAGGTATCTCACATAAAGTAATTTCATTGTATTTGTTTCTGAAAGTATGACTATGCTTTTAAACATGCAGATTTTGAGTTGTTCCAATTTATTAGGGGTTCGAATCATTCTGTGTCAGGAAGAGTATTAGCAGGCTCTGAGTGAATTTCTTTCAGGACATGAATAAAAATATTGAAGGTATCTTAACAAGATAAAGAGTGATTTCAGACTACGTTGATTTCAAACACTGGTGTTTCTGATGGGTGACAAATATGCACCACAATCTGCTCACGTCCACTCTGTAAGTGCCATTTTCAACGCAGCCTCACCTCCCTTGAGTTGTGCTGTTTCCCAAGGGTTGCAGTAAAACTGCCTCTTGAGGGTCAGCACTAGTTAAGATCTGCTGTGTCCCTCTAACTGTGCCTCTTGGTGGTCATCTAGTCCTGTCCCCCTGTCTACAGGGCAGCCTGCTTCCCAGTCCCGGACCCTTTCTGACACATCAGCAAAACAAACCTGTGTGCTGCCAGCACTCTTGTCCTTCAGCAAATACGGTCTGAGCTCTTTTTTTGGCTTCTGAGCTTTTTGCACCCACGCTTCTACTGCCATAGTTAGAAAAAAAGACTGATTCATGTAAGACTTTGCTAAAAGGTCACAATACCACGTGGGCCTGAGGACAGCCCTGAGGTCTAACCCAAAATATAAATGCAGCCATATCTGTAAAGTCTCACAGCACTTCATCACAGAACTCCCTGATGATGGTAAACAGCTAGACAATCTCCTGCTGTGTGCTTATTCACATGCTGCTTGTTACAGGTCCAATTTCAAGTACCATTTCTGAACAGGTACATTTACATTATGATTTTAATGGGTTTTCAAAATGCCTCGCAAAATCTACTCCCCTGTTTTCTTGGCTCTCCTTGACTGTCTTTTTGCTGGCCATAACTGAATAAAAAAGAAAAACCGTTTTTCCTTCAGTTATTTTTATAACTGAATCCTCTCTTAGCCTGTATTTTTGTGGTCTTCAGCATCTCATGGCTCCCTCTACTGCCAAAATGCTCTCACGACGCAAACAGTATTCGAGTCCAGAGTAAGACAGATGACCCTTCTTTATGAATTTGGTTTCCTCCCCCGGATATGGATTGTATGCAACTTCCAGTGTAGGTATTTTTTACATAATCATCTTTCAGTGGACAGATATACCACACACAGCGCAATGAAGAGAAAACCATTTTAAACAGTCCTTCAATTTTCAATTACAAAGAGATGTAAAACTGAAAAGCAAAGGTATGAAAAACTAAAAAAAACCCCCACCAAACAAAAACAACACCCTAAAATCTGGAAACAACACTATTACAAAATTCTGTCTATCTCTAGGCTATTTTGTTTAGATGCTAAAGCCTTTAAAAGAGAGAGGGATAAATAATGGCTTGCAATAAGCCATGTGACAGCCTCTTTCAGTTAAGCTATGCGCACTGAAAAAGCAGACTAAACTGTAAGACAGCAGCCCTAACCATCGAAGTGCTGTTAAAGAGTGTGACCTTCATTATCAGCTGCATGTCAATATTGCTTCTAAATTGCATGTATTAACAATTACATGTCAAAGGTTTCAGGAAATTGGAGAATGCCATTATATTTCTTTTAGAGACTTTACTGGCTAGAATGAAAGCTGTATTAAGTTTCTGAATATGTTTTCTCTTTCTTCCCTGAATACGCTAACTATTTAGGTTTTGCATCCTTCTGGTTCAGAAAGTGGAACTCTAGCACCAATGCACTTACCTCTGCCACAGCCCAGTAACGCCCTGATTCATGGCTATTTTGATCTAGGTTACCAGATTTGTTTGATTGATTGGCTAAAATAATCAGTAGGGTATTTTTTTCATCATGTATTTGAGAAATTATTTTAGTTAATTCCAGATTACATACAAGGCCACAAACTAAAAAGTAATCTGATAATTATTAATAAAAAAAAGAGCGCTGAAAAGTATTTAACAACTCCAAATACTGCACACAGATGTTGTCAGCACCTATGCTTAAAAAGCAAGGAAAAATCTTTAAAGACTCAGTCTCCAATACTTGAGATAAGATCATCAATTAAAGGGATGGAGGAGAGTGGTACAGCTTTGGTAAACTAATAAATAAGATTATTATATTAGAATTTTAATGAGATAGCCTAGTAAATTAGACTAGGAGAATTACATTACTTTGCAATCTAATAGGAAATCATTTGCTGTGGGGAAACCTAAAATCCACAATTCCTTTTGCTCAAATGAGGTAATACAGATGGGTCCGAGACTTAAAGGGGAAGTACTGGCATTGTTTCCCCCCAAAATCTCTAATATACTTCACCTAACACCATACACTTAACTGATACTTGCTATATAAAGACAAATTCAAGTTCAATCTTATTTCTAATGGTAGAACTTATTACAGAAAGTAGCTACCCCTAAGTGCATGCTCATGAGAAGTTAAACTCAGATATACCTGCTCTGCGTTCTGCAGCAAGTATGGCCTTTTCTGTTAGTATGAGGCTAAAAAGGGTTAATAGCTACAATGAGGAAGTTTTTGTTTAGTATACTCCTAAGTTTCTGGTCACTCTTCTAGACACAAAGAAAATAATTTCACTCCTTTCAGTACTGAGTGAACTGGCTGGACTGAGGGTAGCACATCCCAACTAGGAGTACAGCATCAGGTTGTGCGGCTTAATTTGATTTCTTATGCAGCTGTGTGTTGCGTAAATAAAGCACACAGTATACACTATCTGGGTGACCTTCTCCACGTTTGTTTAGGGTGTACAAGCTCCAACTAACCTTCCAGGATAGGAGTGTATCTTAAAACAATTTCAATTTTCCTAAACTCCGGCACAGCAGGGTTTCCCAAAAGGTCTTTTAGTTTCCTCCAGGGCATCATCTGCTTTCCAAGAAACCGTATCAGGAAGAACTTGTGAATATTTATTTCCCCACAAGTCCCAATCCAGCTTAACAGAGCAAGGCCAAGGCGGTCTGACAGGACTGACCACCTGCTTTTCCCCACACCCTTGTCTCACCTGGCCAAGCGCCCTGAGGACTGGCAGGGAGCAGCCACCAGTAGTGCCCAGGTACTACTGCAGAAATGTCAGTCACCAGCTCGGAGGGAGCCTCCGCAAGCATCACTTCTCCCCACACCAGCAGGAGAAGCAGGAGCTCCCTCCACGTCCAGCATCTTTACCACATGAGCCCGCCCCGGCACGGCCGTTAGCCCCTCAGCAGCGAGGGGGGGAAGGGGCCCCCGCGCCGGCAGCCTGCCAGGAGAGGAGAGCAGCGAGGGAGCGCAGCCGTGCTTGGAGAGCTAGGCGGCAAAACACCAGCGCCGTCACCGGGTGGCGACGGAGGCCGCAGCGGCGCCACTCCCGCCTCAACGGCCGCCAACGGCCGCCAACCGCCACTAACCGCCGCCTCCAGCAGGGCGGGGCGCTACCTGAGGCGGCGAGGGCGGTGCCGGCCCGCGCGGCGGGGCGGCAGTACGTGCGCTCCGCTCCCATTGGCTCCCGACCCGGAAGAGCAGCCGGTGCCTGCGCGGTGGGTGCCGCCGTGCGGCGCTGCGACGCCCGAGAACATGGCGGCGGCGGGGCGGCGGGAGCCGCAGCAGCAGCAGCAGCGGGGCGCGGTGGCGGATAGCGGCCGGTCGCTGTCGGGGCAGTCCTACTGGCTGGACCTGTGGCTCTTCGTCCTCTTCGACCTGGCGCTCTTCGTCGTCATCTACCTGCTGCCCTGAGGGCGCCGGGCCCAGGTCAGCCGGCTCTCGGCGGGGCGGGCTTCCACCCGCCCGTTGGGCGAGGAGGCCCGGCGCTGCGCTGAGGCACCGGCTCCGGGAGGGAGGAAGGGGGCGGTGGGCGGCCCGGGGGTGAGGGAAGGAGGGAGGGCAGCTCCTGCCTCGCTGGGGTGCCCGCGGGTGAGCCGTGCGGACAGGCGTGGGGGAAGGTACCGCTCCTGGCAGGGGAGCGGGCACCGGGGAGCAGCTCTGGCTTTCCTTGCCTGGAGCGTCCCAGCCTCAAAAGGAAGGCCTGGAAAGCACAAACACCGCCGAAGAAACGTAAAGCTAATTCCAAACAACCGGCAGCGTGATTTATTTTTTCCCCTTGAACAACAACAACAAAATATATATAGTATCGGTTCTTGGATTGGAAAGCATGCTTGATGCTTCTGTTGTGTTTGCTGTTATCTTCCAAGGACTACAAAAGTAACTGGACTTCTTCTGTTCTCTGTAGAGCCACTATCTAATCACAGGATGCACCTTATGAAAACAAGCAGTGGAAGAGGAGGACCATTTGTGCAGCTCAGACAACTGGGAACATGCCTCCACTTGCGTCTGAATGCAAGAGGCATATATACACACTATATCATAACTCCGGCTGTATCACAAGTATTACGGTTCAGGTTTTTACCAGTATCCTGTTTCTGTGTTCTAAACTGTGCCTTAAAGGTCACATAAGACAGCTTGACTGTGCTTTTGTAATTAGTGCCTAAAGGTTTGTTAAGTAGAAATGAAAATATGTACTGTTTGAATAAAATCAAGTGAAAGGACAGACTGTAGAGTGGCTGAGAATAAAATCCAGCTCTTATGTAGACTGAAGTGCTAACTCAGACCTTTTTCCCTCAGTGGATGAAGC